AGAACATATTCACTTAAGTTTGCTGGCTTGATTTATAAACATTTAGACATACAGTATGTGGGCCTCCCTCTATACTCTTGCCCCGGCTCACAAATACGAGTGCAGGCCTCACCGTCATGAGCCTGCTCCCCGCCCCCTCCCACTTTATCCCATGCACCTCAGGCCTACAGGAAGGGGACTAATGGGCTTTCATAAGGAACTATTTCTGCCTTCTCAGTAGCAGGTCATGAGGGTGTGACAGCGAGACAACAGAACTGTGAGAATAACAGAGTTCACTCTGGTAGCTTAGGGTATTGGCTCCTGGACTGGGGAGACAGGACCTGCTTTGTGGATTCTTCCAGGAGGCTTTGCACACAGGATGGTCCAGCTTTACTAAGTTTTACCCAGTGCAGCTGCCACTGTATCTGCTTGCTGATATGGCTAGCTTTACTTTGGCAAGAGGGACCTCAAAATAAGGTTGCCCAAGTAGAATTTTCTAGAGTGAGACTTCTTTCAAAAAAATATGAAGGCCCTGTTTCCATCAGCTCCTCCTTTTTGTCTTCCCGTTTGCAGTTTGGGGGCCATGTCTTTCCTACCTCTGGAAGTTCAATGGCAGCACATATATTCTCACCACCTTTGTCAGGAATGAGAAAGCATCATACCAGGCAGCTGGACCCTGGGACCTGGGCTCTCAGGCTGGGGCTTGCTCCAAGGATGGGCTCGGAGAATCATTGCTTCGGTAGGGAAATTTTGGTGTCCAGTGTATCCCAAGTGAATCAAGCAAGCCCTTCCTGGAAGGAATCAGGCTGGACGATACCTCAAGTGAAAAGGCTTGTGAGCATAATGGTTTCCACTGTCTCATGGCTTGCTACCTGGGGATATCTACATTGGGCCTTTCTCTCCTAGGTACTTGTTCCCAGCCTTGACTACTAATTTCAAAGCATTCGCCCTGGTGCATCATGGGCCCCCATGGGCAAGGATTTCCAGAGTTGGAGGCCCCTCAGGGCTGGTGGAGATAGAAGGGGACTTTGTTCTCCTTCTCAGCCCTATACTCTGAGCTCACAAGAACATTTCCAGAGTGTCTCCACTTGACTGGTGACCATTATCCACATGTAATTTGCATGATTAGAACTGACAGCTCTCTAAGGTATCATGCTTTTCCATCATCACCAGAAAACAAAGATGAAGATACTACTGAAATGTTCTCATTGGGTTCACCCCAGTACCTGAAAATGCCAACTTCTGCTTGTTTAAAAGTCCCATTTCTTTGGATGAATCTAAATTCTTTGACATGGATGACAATGTCCTTTACAACCCAGTCCCGAGTACTTCACAAATGTCACCTCTTCCACACACCCCCATAGTGGCCACCACAATATATACCAATTGATTAGAATTTTCTTAGTTCTGCCACCACATCTTGCTCTCTCTACCCCAGGCCATTTGTACATGCCATTCCCTCTGCCTAGAATACTCTCATTACTGCATTTCACATGGCTAAAGTTATTCATCCTTCAGGTTACTTATTACCTCTACAAGGCCTTATCTGATTCCCCAGGCCAGGATAGGACACTCTATTTCATTCATTTGTTCAATCTCATATTCATTTACTCAAAAATGAGTGGCTTCTGTGTGCCATAGCACTGTTAAGTAGGGTAACTGCTTGTTTTATTGCCTGACTCTCCATCTGGGTGGGAGCTTGTTGAAGGCAGAGACCACGCATGACTGGCTCAGTGTTGTCCCCAAGTACTCACCAGGGCGTGGCAGAGAATAAGTGCTCACTAAATCTTGCCAAATGAACATACCTGCTCCATAGTCCCTTGGAGGCCTGAGCTCAGGAGTCTGGGCCCATCCTGACTTAAGTCAAGGGTGGCGATGGCTGCGGATCAGGCCCTGGTGGGGTCCAACTGGGTGACTGCCAACTTTGGAAATCTGATGGCTTTTTAAGGAGGGACTGGCCTTCATCATATCAAAATAGTTCTAGGGAACTAGCTGGGCCCTTGGCTGAAGGTTGGTGTCTTGAGACCAGGCCAGGGCTTGGGTGTGTGAGCAAGAGACAAGCTCTAGAATTGAGTTCTAGGTCCAGAATACCCTCTGCCCTTCCTCTCCCTCCTGCCTCTCCTCAGACCCAGGACCCTCGGAGAAAGCACCCAAGGGACCATCTACAGGTTCTCACCAGATAAGTTCCAGGCTAATGTGAGCAGTTCCAGATCTGAGAAGCCTTCTAGAAGAGACAATCTGTGCTGTGTTCTCCTTTCTTTTCCACCCTCTTCTACTCCAGAAGTCAGATTAAAAGATGGACTGGGTCTGACCATGTGCAAATAACAAGGCTGCCAACCCATTCAGTGACTCTGCAGATTATCCAAAAGTGCTCCTTCCTGGTCAGGAATTTAAAAAGGTACTCCCTCTGGCCAGACTAGTTAGAAAAAAGATACGCTTCCCTCTGGGCTGAAGCACCCCTATATCAGTATTCACGGCTGGCTTGGTGAATGGAGGGCAGGCGGGGTTTAACTCCAAGGTCAGTCTCCCTTGTGCAGGGCCCAACCAGCATAACAGCATCCCTAGCACGTACCAGATGTACAAATCTTCTCCCTCTGTTTGACCTGCTTAAGGGATTACTTTGAGGGTTGGGGAAGAGGTGACAGGCTGAAGGTGTTCACTCCTGAACTCTGTTTGGTTTGTCTTTACAAGTCTTGATGGGCTCCGTCTACATTTCCACATGATAGGAACATTGTAATAAACGCATAGGGATGTCTGGATAGTTTATGGTCTCTTAGCCCCAGACTCCACTCTCTCCAGAGCTCTCTGTTATGCCCACACAAAGAGGAGGAATGATACATTAAGTGGGGCCAAAGGCAGAAAGTGTGTGTGTTGGTGGGTGGGTGGCAGCAATGATAACGCAAAGGAGATCTTCAAGTCATGGACATTGCGAGGGCAGACAACTGAGGCCTCAGGGCTCTTGCCTCTGCCAGCCTATCTCCAAGGTCTCCTTGCTAGCCAGATACTCACTCCAGCAGGGAGGACGTAAATAGTTGCCCACTTGACATAATAGGACATCTCCCACTTGCTCCTCCCTGTCTCCTCATTTAGATAATGGCCTCTCAAAAATCATCTTTGAAGAGCTCTTTTTCACCTGATGGGAATTTCTCTTCCATGCACTTAATCTGCCCCTGTACCCCCAGCTTGGCTGCAAGATGGTGCTCAAGATACTCACAAGGAAGA